TCACTTTTTTGATCAAAATCATTTTTTCTTATTTTGTAAATTTTTTTTTTTTTTGTATTTTTATTTTTTTTTAAAAAATTAAATTTGAAAAAAAAATTCTATATAAAATTGGGCCTTATTAACATTAAGTTTGGCTTTGTTTGTTTTTTTTTATAATTCATATATTTATAAGTAAAAAATCTTAATGTTAAAAATTTTATTTTCCTAAAGAAATTGAGAAATTTGAAAGAGACATTCCAATGAAATGGAACCAAAAAAGTTATTTAGATTTTTTTTTCTGAAATTTTTTATTTTTTCAGGCTTTTCTATTATGTTTATCGGCTCTAATACGAAGTTATCATTTCTCCCTATTTCTAAACAATCCAACTTTGTTTGATTCTTAAAAATAAAGTGACTTTTTCACTTTTGGCTGGGAAATTCTGAGTGAAATGGAGTTTAGATGCATATAAGATAATACCAAACCAAGTAGGTATTTTTTTTTTTATATGTAGTAGATAATCATCTTTGTAACTGTTCTTTTCATAAAGTGACTATACCAAATTAAGTGGAATAGTAATACTGATTGAATTAGTACATATTGTTGACATTTCAAAATATTTTCATCAAAATATTTACCAAAAAAATGTAAAAAAATTTAAAAAACATTTTTCGAAGAAAATATTGGCACAGTCAATATCAATAAACAAACAGCAAAATTTAAGAAAAAATATTATAAGGATATAAACAAATTTTTAACAATAAAAGATTTTTAACAATTTTTCATTCTATTCAAATTTTTTTCATACTTTATATATATGTATAAACCCCTTCGTTTTAGGAAAAAATAACCAATTAAACCCCAATTCTAAATTTTTAACCCACCAAAATACATTTTTTGAAAAATACACTCTAATTTAATAAATTCTTGAAGAAATACCAAATCAAAATCATTTACTAATGAAAATAGTAACACTTGTTAATAAATTACAATACGCTCAAAACAAAAAAATAAATAATTATAAATACTAATAAATCAAGAGTGTATTAAAAATTTTTGAGTAAGCAAAACAAAAAAATTCATTAGTAAATATATTTAAAATTTATCAGGAATATTGATCAATAAAAAGGTTAGATATCATTGACTTTTTTTATTTGATTTTCTTCTATTTTTAAGAACAATGAAACTTTAACATAATATCAATTGTAGAAAATAATTTGATCAATCGAAACAAATTACGTAATACAAAAAATGAAATGAAAAGAAAAAACCAAAAGATGAAAAAATGATTTTCATAGTTAAAAAAAATCAAAATTATTAACAATTTGAATGAAATTATATTATTGTGATTGTTTAAACTGTTTTAACTATTTTGAAAATTTTGAATTTTAATTTAGTTTGCAATATTAATAAAAATTCAACAATTTTTGGGATTGACTGAATAATATTTAAAAATAAAAATAAAACTTATAAAGATCTAAAAATAAAATTTCATTGATATTTTTAGGTTTTTGGCTTACAAAATGGACGAGTTAACCTCATCTTAAACAATTAACTAATTTGACTCAATTTTTTGAAATCCAAAAATCACTTTTTTCCAATATATATGTATATATATATAAAGATAATCCATTATTTTTATTAAAATTTAAGTTAATTACTTGGAAATGGGAAAGTATATAAGTTCCGTTTTATGTTGGTAAGTATTGATTTTTGAAAGAAAATTTCTTATTTTGTTATTCTTTTTCATTATTAATATTTTAAATTCAAATCTCAAATAATAAAACTAATAGAGATATAGGCGATTTAATAAATGAATATGTCATTAAATAAATAAAAATTTATTAATGAAATTGAGGATCCAGTAGGCAAAATATTTTTTTTATTCTGTAAAGTTTTTAAAAAGCCATTTTCTTATTTTCAAAAACTTAAAAAAATAATTCTAAATTTTGAAAAATATTTTAAAAATTGCTTTTTATTATTCACAAGAATAATTATAACAACACCAATTCATTTTTGGAAGAAAATAATTGATTTTGAATTTTGAGGATAAAATTACCTTAATTCCTAAATATCTTTATGAAAATTTTATTTTGAAAAATCAAATTTTATCTTTAAACAAACACAAAATTTCAGAGAAACATTTAAAATATATTTTAAACATTTAATTTCTATAACCATCCTTCTTAAAAAAAATACAATAATTTTCCTATATGTTGTATAAATCATTTTAATCTTTTTTTTTTATTTTTTTTTTTTGGTAATCAAAAAAGTTATCTCGAAAAGATAAAAAAATCTTTAAATTGATATAGGGCAATAAATACGATGTTATTGAATAATAATGATCAAAATGGCAATAAAAAGGGTAAAATTTTCTATAATACAAGAAATAAAATGAATTTAATAGTCGTTTATTTCAGATAAAATGGAAAAAAAAAATGAACTCTCTATACTAATTATCTTTTATGGATTTTTCAGGTGATTAGAATATTTTGACACTTTGTGTATCCAAAATTTGTATGTAGAAAATATTATCAATAATATCTTTTAAATATTACTTAATTTTCATTGTAAACGACTGATCCCTTAAATAGTATATTATATCATCTATAATAATAAGGTATTACAAATAATAAAAAAAAATTGTTTTTTTTTTATTAAGACTCAATTTATGATAAATAACATTACACGGCATTATATATTTCATTTTTTATTTAATGAAAATCTTGACATATTTAATTAAACTATTTTTAGAAAAAAAAAATAAAAAAGAAAAATTTGAAGAGTACCAAAAAATTCAAAAAATTAAATCTACAAATGCTTATTTTTGAAAGAACGGTTTAATATGACAAAAATAAAAAATACTGATAATTTTTCACCCCCCTTTTCCAGCAATTTTATGTTTTAAATAAATTATTAATTTTTAAGCAAGTAATTACATTTTTCAATTTTTGAGTGCCTCCAATTCAGTGATGCTGAATCTTCAAATCATTTCTTTAACCAAATATATTGTTATTTTAATAAATAAGAGAGCGGATATATCCTAACTACTATATATCCATACCAACTAAAAAATGGATATCAAAAAAATGAAAAAGATTGATCAAAAAAAAAAATAAATGAAAATAATATATTACTTGATCTTACTATAACATTTTACACAATTGCTTATTCTTTATTTGGTTTTATTTTTAATTCTTTATGAAAAAAATTTTATTTGGAAAATTTTTGATAAACAAATTACTATTTATTTCAAAAGAATTTTCCAAAATGAATTTAAAAATCCTATTTTCATTTATGTCATCTAATTCTGGTTTGGGTTCAGAAAATAGTATTTTTATTAAATTCCTCTTCAGAAATAAAGATTTATTGGACCTATTTTATTAGATTTTGAAATTATTTATATTACCTCTAAATTGAGAACTTAAAATAATTATGAATACATTGAATTTTTTTCTCAATTTTATTTTTATTTTGGGTTGAATCTTATGTAACTGTTGACTTATTCCGGCAATTCATCACTTTTATTTTAAATTTTTGAAATAGTCTTCCTTGTTTTAACATGGTTTGATAAAAATATTTGAAAAATAAATTTTGAAAGCAAATTTGTAAAGAAATATTTTGTAAAATAATAATAAATAGTAATGGGGTGGGAAATCCAAGGTTATAATTTGTTTTGATTCATACAAGATTAGGGAGGTAAAGAAAAAAAATCTTTGAAAATAGGCTTTTGTTGATTTTTTTTTTTTTTCATATTAGATTTTAACAAATTTATTTGGAAAAGTGATTTTTTTGTTTGGTCTTCTAAAAGACAATATTTGTTTCAAATACATACCTTTTGGAATCTATTTTGTTGGTTTATTCTTGGATTAATTTTAAAGATTTGTATAATCACATTCCAGATCCAAAACCAAATTTAACAAATTTAAAAATGTTAAAAAAATTGAAAAATTTAAAGATTCAACTCTGTTGCAATAGACTCCTTTTCTTTTCACAAATAGTGCAGTGGATGATATTTTGATTTCAAAGTTTCAATCGTTTGTATTCACTCAAAAAATATTTTTTCAGTAAGGTTCTTGCAATTAAAATTTTCAAAAACAAAAAATGTTCCAACTCCCTGAATCTCTTAATAAAAGATCGTAAAAAATTTTATTAATATATACGGTGGCATTTGTGGTTTTGGATTCATTTTCATTTTAGTAAGAATTATCCTTAATAAGTTATAATCCTTACCTTCTTCAAATCAGGAGATAAAAAAATAACTATTTATTTTTTTCCATTTTTTCCCTTGTTGAATTTCCTTTTTATTGGGAAGAAGAGTTACTCAGGAGAAAAACCAAGTGGTTACCTACTAATACTAAAAGGACAGAAATTAGTTGGTATGGGTAACTTGAAAATAAAAAGAAAAGACAAAAACAAAAACTGGAACAATCAAAAAAGATTGGATCAAAAAGAAAAAAAAATGGCAGCTACTAAACAACTACCTCTCAACGAAGCATTCACGATTTCTTAGAAATAATTAAACGACAAAATTTTAAATAAAAGGATCGTGTCTGTTTTAATGAGTGTTCTTGATAAAAATGTGCTGTTGGTTTTTTTTTTTAATTTTTTATCAACTGTCTTTAAAAAAAAATTTTTTTTTTTTTTACTAACTTGCTTTTTTTTTTTTTTCTTTTTTTTTTCTTTTTAATTTTTCTTTTTGTTTTTTTAACAAATAAAAAATTGGAACCTGCTCGATTCCAAAATATTTTTTTTTCTTTATCATCTAAATTACTAATTTACCATTAGTAATCAGAGCTGTAAGAGGATCTTTGATCACCCCCTTCAACTAATAAAAAAAAAAAAAAAAAAAAAAAAAAAAAAAAAAATTAACAATTTATATAAATTAAAGTCATTATTAAAATTAATATTAAAAAATTCAGTTCAAAACACTAAAAATATTTGTTTTCAATCTAAAAAATAAAATAAAAAAAAGTTTAAAAAAAAATAAAAACTTGAAATTTTGTTCGAACTGCTAAAAAAATTCCTAAACAGGGAATCGAACCCCGGTCATTGGTTTGAAAGACCAACGTTTTACCACTAAACTATTTAGGATTTTATAAATTTATTAAAAACATTATATTCGTATTTGAAATGAAACTAGAGAATTAACTGAAAAAAAAATTTTTGCACATAAAAAAAAAAAACAATTGATGATTGTTCGGGTTTGTCGTTAACTGTTCTTCGTTAAAAAGATACAAATAAATACTCTTATTGTCTGAGAAGATCCAAATATAGGCGAAGAAAGCATTAACAAAAAAACAAATCAGAAATAACACAAAAAAACTTGGAAAATAAAGACGAATAGTAAACAAAAATTGAATAATAATTGTGGTCACTTTTTTTCATTGGAAAACTTTGTTGTTTTGAAATTGTTCCAAATTTTGAAAGGAATTACAAGATCAAAATTCATTAACTTTCAATTTTAAAGTTTTTATAATTAAAACTATCAATAACTTATAATTTTTACAATTTTACACTTTTTAGTTTTTGTAAAAACAGTTTAAGTTTTTTAAAAGAGAAAAAATATTTTTCTTTTCAATAACTTTTCAAAATTTCAATTAAATTCAAAATGATATCTTTTGTTAATTGTTTATTTTTTTCCCTTTTTTTGGATTTTAAAAGTTTAACTAAAGATTTTGAAATTTGAAAAAATATAGAAGAATATTAGAGACTGATTTCTTGAAAACTGTAAGTCTGAAAGTTGGAAAAAGTCTTGAAAGTATTTGTATGAACTGTTTTATTCTTTTCTTTTGTGAAAGAATTGGGGAGGGTGAATTTTGTGATCAATGTTCACTTTTTTGAATTGTTGTTTGCTCTAGGCATAAAAAAATAGTAAAATTGACTTTTTCAGACTACCCCAAATTACCTAATTGAAAAATTAAGAAGACGAAAATTGATATTACTATTAATTGAAAAATAAATCGGACAAAATTTTCATTTATCTTTCCAAAATTAAATTATGATTTCAAAAATCCTTTGAATACAGAATTTTGATAGTCCCGATCCTCTAACCACGTTAAACACGTTATATGGTTGAAAAATAATTCGATTTTCAAAGATTATTTCAAAGATTTTTTTACGAACGATGAATGAAAATTTTGTCCGATTTATTTTACAATTAACAGTATTGTTTCTTCTGGAATAAATGACTTTCATGGACAAGAAACGAAAAAAAATCTTCAAGTAAATTTTTTAGTAAATTCAATAAAATTTTCCCCCAACCCTGAAAATTGATAAAAAACAAAGTAAAAATCTGTTTACTATAAATGTAAACCCACTTTTAAATTCAATTTTCCGAAATGAATTATTGTTTTAAACGGTTTGATCAATTGTTTCATATATTTGGAAAACTTCAAAATTCAAAGTATTTCTGAATTATTCCAAAAAAAAAATTATTTTCTTGAAACAAGTCAGAAATCTGATCTATTTCAAAGAGGTTGTACAAAAATATATCACAAAAATAAAACCTCTAAGTTCTAAAAAAATCCAGGATAAAAAACCTACATAATTTTATTTTAAAAAATTACAATAATAATTTTCAACTTTAAAAAAATAAACTCTATTTCAAAATCTTTTGCCCATTAAAAATCAAATTTTGATTATAAATATCGTTATAAATTGTATTTAACAATTACTATAAAAAAATTACTACCTTTTTATTATTATTATTATTATTATTGTTTAAGGTAGGAGTTTTTAGTACCTCTTGTTTGTCGTTAGGTTTTTTTTAATTTGAGTAATAAACGAAAATTTATTTAATTTTCTGTTAATTTCTCAAATTAAAAAAAAAACCATCATTAGCTTTACCAGAATTCAAAGAATTTAGTAAAATATCTGATTTTTCTCAATTCTTTTGAATTTTTGAAAAGCGCCGTTAGGGTTTCATGAGTTTTCTGTTTATTTGGAAAATCGATAGATTTTGGTTAGGTTTTTTTGAGTTTTCTATTTATTCGGAAAATTAATAGATTTTCCATAAAATAGAAAACCTCAAAAAAACCTAGAACACTTTTTAAATAAAATAGAAAACCTCAAGAAAATCGCCATTAGCTTTTTTTTAATTTTAGAAATTAAAAAATCTGTCGTTATCTTTTCCAGAATTTAAAAGAATTGAGTAAAATATTTGATTTTTCTCCATTCTTTTAAATTCTGGAAAAGCTAGGCACTCTACGGCACTTTCTCTAATTCCTAAATTGTGATTTAGACATTTTTTAAAAGATTTCCAATTACTTTTATTTTCCACCAGGGCTAATAAAGTTATAGACTCTTTACTGTTAATATTATTAAAAATATTATTTTTTTTTAAGATATGAGATATATGGATTTTTTTTACTTCATATTTCCAGCTTTTACGATTATTTTCTTAGGATGGACAGTTCCAGAGAACGAGTATTTTCAGAGGATGTGTAATTACAGAGATAGGCTGGGTTGTTCCAGAAACAAAAAATTACTATTTTATCTTTATTTCTAGACACTAGAAATATTTTTTTTTGATCAAAAAATACATAAAAAAAAGTTAAAAAAAAAATAAAAAAAAAATTGGGCAATTTATTCTGAAATTTAATTTAGAATTTCGTTTATCTAAAGAACATTTCAAATCATTTTTTTCTTTTAATTGAACAAAAAAAAAAAAAACTAGAAAAAAAAAAACAAACAATTCAATGAAAAATATTTAAAAATACTTTCTTAAAACCTGGAAAAATCTACTTTAAATCTATGGAAATACTTTAAAATTTGATTATTTAAAAATAACTAATTAATAATCCTATCTTAATTTATTCAGTGGATTATTAACAACCCAATAATTAAATGCTTAACTAGACTTTACAATTAATCACCCTTTTTTAAAAAGATTTTCAAACAAATAAAACCAAATCAAATAAATAATTCTTATATTAAAAAAATAATAGATATTATCAAATAAATGATTTTAAAACCACGAGTTCCCTGTTTATACTCTAAATCTTTAAAAAGTAAATTACAATTATCTTTTAAAATTTCAAGTAATTTAATAATTATTTTTGAATAAAATTTAATATCAAATTTTCAGATGTTCAATGATTCAATATTTAATTATATTGTATTTTTCTTGTAGTTTTAGAAACAAGACTAAAAGTTCAATACTATTTGTTTATACATTCTCTCAGAAATTACTAAAAGGGATATTTTTTTAAAAATAAAAAATTTTTTACAAATTGTTCTTTTTCTTTTTTAATTGATCTAAAACTATAAACAAAAGAGATCCTGGATCCTTTGACTGAAAATAATTTACCAAAAACACAAAGTATAGAAAAATCCAAATCAAAAAAGAAAAGATCTATTTACTGAAAATTTGAAAAGGAAAAATTGTCAAATTTAAAAAAGGATAAGACATTTCTCTAAAGTTGATACAGTCAGTTCCACTTTTAAGGCACAAACTTTCAACGAAATTTAAGGCACAAAAAATCTCAAATTAAGGCACAAAATTTGGAATTTATCTTTTTACAATTTATTTTACTAGAATCTGAATTTTGTGCCTTAATTTAGAATTTTTATTGTGCCTTAAATTTCGTTGTAAGTTTGTGCCTTAAAAGTGGAACTGACTGTAAATGAAGTTGCATATATAATATAATTATATCCTTATGTAGATAATCACTCTATTATCTTTAGGAAAATAAATAAATAAGGGTTATTAGCCCCTTACATTTTCAGAGACTTAAATCAACAAAATAATTAAAAAAATGTTAAAAAAATTCTTTTTCTGTATTTTCTTAAAGGGTAATATTCTAAGACTGTCAATTGTAAAATCAAAAGAGTAAAATTTTCAATCAGCTTTCCAAAAAAATCTATCAAGTAATTAAAATAAATTATCAAATTGTACCAATTCAAAAGGGTAAAATAATAATTTAAGTTGATTTTAAGAATTAAAAATTTGAATTTTTACACAATTTTAAAATCTTTTTTTGTAAAGATGATGGAATTTTTTGTTTTATTTATTTTGCAACAAATAATAATAGAGATCTGTTGGATTCATATTCTACTTTGATTTTTTCCAGTTATTTTGAGTAATAAATGACACAAAATATTTTTCCCATTTTTTTTTTATTTTTTTGTTTTTAATTGAAGGTGCACACTCACAAGAAAAAATAAAATAGGAAAATAAAGTTCGACAAAATTACTACGTTCATTAACCTTTCGTCTTAAATTAAAAAGTAGATTCACAATATAATCAAAATTATAGAACTTCAAAGTAATGAGTCTGTTGTATTTATTGTTGTTAATATATCCATCTTTTTTTAAAGTCTCTATTCAATAAAAAAGGGTATATTTTCCAGGTAAAAAACTACAAATAAACTGAAGAATGATTTTTTGTTTAATTCAACGTAGAGACATTTACTTTGATAGATAATTATGAACAGTTTTGAAAATGTTGTACTCATCTAATAAAACTGAAATAGAGAAAAAAATCTAGATAATTATTCCTAAGTATCCGTAGAGTGTCGTAGAGTTCAGTAGAGTACTTAGCTTTTCCAGAAATATAAAAGAATAATCAAGAAAAATCAAAGAGTTTACACAATTCTTTTGAACTCTGGGAAAGCAAACTAGGTTTTTTTACTTTTTGGAATAAACCGAAAATTTCTCAAATTTTCAGTTTATTTCAAAAATTAAAAAAAACCTAACGGAAAAATCAAAAAAAATATATTTTTTTCAATGGAAAAGAACAAATAATTCTTTAATAGTCAAAATAATTGTTTATCCATTTGATGGGTATTGATTAAATTTGAATTACTTTTAAAGGATATGATTATAACTGATCAAAGTTGAAAATTTGAACATATTCAAATTTTTTACTATTATATTTTAAAAAAATTGTAATAAAAACTGGTAAATTGAATTTTCCAAATTTAATTGTAACATAAAATCCATTTCACTCGAATTTACTCCACCAAAAACGAAAAATTCACTTTATTTTTAAGGTTCAACCAAACTTATATTCTTTAGAAATACGAGAAACAATAAGGTTCGTATTAGAGCTAAAAATTATAAAAGAAAATCCTGAATAAACCATAAATTTC